AGAGGAAAAGCGAAAACAGTTCAACATTACTCTTTAAAACGAAATAACGGACAGGCGAATCACGGAAGTTAGACAATAGACTTTGAAACGAAGTAGAAACCTTGCGAATACCGGAGGTTAGACAATAGATTTTGTAACGAAGCAGAGGACAGTCGAATCCTGGAGGTTAGACAAAAAAGCTTTGAAATGCAGTAGATGACAGGCTAATCCCGAAGGCTAGACGATACGACTTGAAATGAAGTAAAAGACAGGCGAATCCTGAAGGTTTGACAATACGTCTTGAAATGAAGTGGGGGATAGGCGAGTATCGAAAGATGGCAAATAGGCTTCCAAACGAAGTATAGGCAGGCTAAATCCGGTTGTTTGACAATAGGATTTGAAACGAAGTAGAGGCCGGCTAAATCCGGTGGTTTGACAATAGGATTTGAAACGAAGTATAGGCAGGCTAAATCCGGTGGTTTGACAATAGGATTTGAAACGAAGTATAGGCAGGCTAAATCCGGTTGTTTGACAATAGGATTTGAAACGAAGTATAGGCCGGCTAAATCCGGTGGTTTGACAATAGGATTTGAAACGAAGTTGAGGCTGCTTCCAATTACGTATATAAAATGTAAAGCAAAAAATATATGACGCTATTCTAAATAATGTCTTTATTTCAAATTTCCAACGGCAAGAAGAGATTTGAGTGTCAAAACAATGTTTGATATGTTAATGAATCAGTTGATACTGACCTGAGGTCATTATACAATGGAGACAGAAACTGAAATGATCGCGAATGTTTTGAGACCACCAAAGCCTGAAGCTCAGAAAATAAAATCGTTTTCTTTTCTTTTCGTCTTTTTTTAATGAAGAAATATGCCTAGCGAAAACTGAAGAATTGGTAGACCCAGTGTCATGTTAATGATAGTAACTATACATAGCGCTGAATGTCCAAACATGTTAATGGCTTCTCAATATTGCACAAACGTTTCGGTTATAAAGAAATGCAATAGTTATATATATATATGTTGATTTGTTTGCAAAAAAAAAAAAAAAAAAAAAATTGAGTAAAAGCCATACAGAATTATCAGAGAAAAAGAGTACACGCCCGTATTGACTTATTTACGAAACAAAAAAAATACACTACGGTACCGAACTGTTTGAGAAAATGAATACATGGCTGTATAGAAATCTTTGAGAAAAGAGTACACGGCTCTACAGAATTATTTGTGAGAAAGAATACAGTCATATAAAATTATTTAAGAAAAAGAATTCTTAGCCATACAGAATTATTTAGAATTAATTTAGATAAAATGAATATGCCATTCAGAATTATCCAAGAAAAAAATGCACATCTATATAGAAAAGTACATAAATTATTTTTTTATAGACAAGAATAAATTTAAGCAGGTAAAAGCTTTACTATCTAATATTAGGTTGGTGCAAAAATAATGACGTAATAATGTCGTCTTTTGTCGTTAAAAATACGTCAAAAACGACATTATTACGTCATTATTTTTGCACCAACCTAATATTTATAATATAATATTTATTCTATTATGCAACATTTTTTTTTATGCAACTGTTCACCTAAGTAGAGGATTACTTAATGTGCCGTAAATATGAAAGGTTTATTATTCTTAAATAAGAAGTAGTTTATGCGGGAGAATAATATGATACACGGCTGAGAACACGGACTAATATAAGAAACAGTTAATCATTAACTCCTCGCTATTTACCTGAGACCACACAAGGCGGGATGTTGCCGATTTTAAACGCGGGGCTTTCCGAGCGCGTAAACTTGAGCAAAAATACCCCGTAGACCACGCACACACGAGATCGGGCAGCTGTCTACCGCCATACACGAGACTCTACCCTTTGGCATAGCCTCGTCTGTGTTCCTCACCGCCCGAAGGCAGAGAGTCGACAAGTAGAGTAACGATTAATGTTAACTCATCTCCCTCAGTCTGAGAGAGAGTGCTGTTTAAATAGTCTTAGACGAGTCCAGTTGTGGGGGTATTCAGCTACTCTACAAAACTGAATGAGATCAATGTAAGAGTGTAAAAGGAGAAAGTAAGATGTTTATCTTATGAAGATATATAGGATAGATAGCGGTTGACTCTAGAATTGAAGAGGTTAAAATTGTAGTGATTGAGAAAGCATCTTTTTGTCTGTTTCACAATTTGTCATAGAATTACTCTGTTTTCCAACCATTTAATTGTCATATCGAATTCAAATTCTGGCGGAGGCCATTGTGTTTGCGTTTTTACAAATCTCTCTGAAAAGTGGAAAATCCATCTCTCTCTTCAGCTAAGAGTTAATAGCAAGGTAGACTGGGCTCTCTAGCTTTGGTTGGTAACCAGTCTAGAAGAAGAACAACTCTGAATTCAAAACCGATTGGGGCGCCCCTTGAAAAAGGCTACTTGTTAGAGAAATCATAGATGGAATGCCTAGTATGGTGAGAGGCATGTCCCTGAATGTCTAAAGCATTGATAACGTTCTTGTGTAGGTGCCAACATGGAGTTTAGATAGAGCTCAAAAGTAAAATACATTCCAATAGGATTTTTACTTGCGGAATGATTATTACTTCACACGCGTCTTACCTGACGAGAGCTGAAGAATCCTCTAAAATGTATGAACATCAGTAAATTCGAATATGCAAAACAATGTATTGTATGTTAAGGACTCAAATCAAGCTTATACTTAGGTCACATTGTTGAGTTTCTCGCAAGAATTGCAGCGTAAATTTTGAATATTTCATAAATCATTAAAATTGTAAATCCAAGTAGAAGACAGGCGAATTGCAGAAGTTAGACAATAGATTTTGAAACAAAGTAGATGCTCATCCCGGAGGTTAGACTTGCAGTGAAGTAAAGGGTATGCAGAATAGTGGCTGGACAATACGACTTGAAACGAAGTAGGGGATAGATGAATCCCAAAGTTTAAACTATAGACTTTGAAAAGAAGTAGAGGACATACGAAACACGGAAGTTAGACAATAGGCTTTGAAACGAAATGAGGACAGGCGAATCCCTAGGGTTAAACAATATATTTTAAAAAAACTAAGTAGGGGACAGGCGAGTCCCGAATGATAGGCGATAGATTTTGAAACAAAGTAGAAGACAGTCAAATCCCGGGGTTTAGACAATAGGCTTTGAAACAAATTAGATGACAGCCGAATCCCGGTGGTTAGACAATACGACTTGAACGAAGTGGTGGACAGGCGAACCTCAGAGGTTAGATAATAGGCTTTGAAAAGCAGTAGAAAACAGGCGAATCCCGGAGGTAAGACAATATGATTTTAAACGAAGAAAAGCACAACCGAATGCCAAGGGGTAAGATAATAGGCTTTGAAACGAAGTAGAGGACAGACAAATCCCGGATATTAGACGATAGATTTTGAAACGAAATAGTAGACAGCCAAAAGCCGGATTTTAGACAATAGGCTTTGAAGAGAATTAGATGATAGGCTCATCCCGGAGTTTAGACAATAAGCTTTGAAACGAAGTAGAGGACTGGTGAATCCCGGACAATAGGTTTTATATGGTGGCGTGGCCGGGGCCGCGGCCGGATGTCTTTGGTCAGGATCGATCCCGGCATGGGAGAACAAGCCGCCAACCTACACTCGTCGGTCGTTCGTGGTGTTTGAAACTGCAGCTGGTCTTTAAGTTGACCTCTTCAACTATGAACCTCTCTTACCCACGTTCTGATTTTTGATCTTAAGAGGGTCAAGCTGAATTATCACTGGGGTATCTCAGCCAAGCTAAACCAAGGAGTTGAATACGCACGCAAAATTGAAAATAAAACAGACGACGCCTGAATAAGTCACAACATGATATTTATATCAAAAAAATATTTACAGTTTTCTTTTTCTTCTTTTTCCAACCCGTTTCTAATATTTGTCGACGGAACGAAAATTTCGGCTAACTTCTCTAAGGGTGGCCAGACTTGACAACTGGATTTATCTTCAAGTACTGTTGTTTGTACTTTCAAGGATGGCACAAGGCTTATCGTCGGAGTTTTTTTTTCTTCAGCAGACAATTCTTATTATTATTATTAGGTTGGCAAAACAGCGTAATGGCAAAAAAATCTCTTAACTCCCCGACGCGGCTTCTGTAACTCTGGACTTCAACTCCAACTCCAACTACTTTAGCCCCGTGGGCATTTGTATTTATGGGTGTCCCTTCCAACTGGTGCAGGCGCATAAGGGGGGGGTATGCAAATCTGCAAAAATTCAACCAGTCTCGTTCTTTCGTTCTCTGTTTAACGCTTCCAATTTTGGAAGATACCGCCTCCTCTGGGAGGAGCCATTATATGACGTCATCTTCCTGACGTCTCCTTCTTTCGTTCTCCGTTTCACACGTCGAATTTTGAAAGATACCCCCGCTCCTCCGGGAGGAGCCATTATATAACGTCAGTCCCCTGAAGACTCCCTCAAGTGCTCATTCTCTCTTAACAATTATAATTTTGTTTCTCAGAGAAATTTCGGTTAATATTTTTCCCAGTACGTAGACACTGACACCTTTCAAAAGTCGACTTTAACCTTTGGCCCCTAAAACTGTCAGCTGTGTCTGGCTGAATAGTAACAATCGTATTGTGTATTTTTTTTCACAGAATTCGTACACCTGTTCTCAATATCACGAGAAAATGAGTCCCTTTATGATAAAAAAATAAAATTGTTTTTTTAACCCTTTTCGTCCGTATGCCATGTTAAATATTGTTACATTTCAAACGAAGTAGAGAACAGGCGAATCCCGGAAGTTAAAAAAAATAAATTTTGAAACTAAGTAGAGGACAGACGAATCCCGGATATTAGAAGATAGATTTTGAAACGAAGAAGAGATGCGAATCCCGGATTTTAGATACTAGGCTTTGAAACGAATTAGAGGATAGGTGAATTCTAGAGGTTAGATAACCTTTGAAACTGGAGGAGAGGTGAATAGACAGATAGGCTTTGAAACGAAGTGGAGAGAGAATCACTTGGAAGTGAATAGGCTTTGAAACGAAGTGGGAGGAGAGGTTCAGGAAGTCAGACAATAGGCTTTGTGAACGAAGACAATAGGGAGGAGAGGTGAATCGCGGAAGTCAGACAATAGGCTTTGAAACGAAGTGGAGGAGAGGTGAATCGCGGAAGTCAGACAAAGCTTTGAAACGAAGTGGAGGAGAGGTGAATCGCGGAAGTCAGACAATAGGCTTTGAAACGAAGTGGAGGAGAGGTGAATCGCGGAAGTCAGAGAGGCTTTGAAACGAAGTGGAGGAGAGGTGAATCGCGGAAGAGGCTTTTGAAACGAAGTGGAGGAGAGGTGAACCGCGGAAGTCAGACAATAGGCTTTGAAACGAAGTGGAGGAGAGGTGAATCGACAATAGGCTTTTGAAACGAAGTGGAGGAGAGGTGAAGTCAGACAATAGGCTTTGAAACGAAGTGGAGGAGAGGTGAATAGGCGGAAGTCAGACAATAGGCTTTGAAACGAAGTGGAGGAGAGGTGAATCGCGGAAGTCAGACAATAGGCTTTGAAACGAAGTGGAGGGAGGTGAGAGGACAATAGGCTTTGAAACGAAGTGGAGGAGAGGTGAATCGCGGAAGTCAGACAATAGGCTTTGAAACGAAGTGAGGAGAGGTGAATCGCGGAAGTCAGACAATAGGCTTTGAAACGAAGTGGAGGAGAGGTGAATCGCGGAAGTCAGACAATAGGCTTTGAAACGAAGTGGAGGAGAGGTGAACGAAGACAATAGGCTTTGGAAGTGGAGGAGAGGTGAATCGCGGAAGTCAGACAATAGGCTTTGAAACGAAGTGGAGGGAGGAGAGGTGAATCGAAACGAAGTGGAGAGAGGTGAATCGCGGAAGTCAGACAATAGGCTTTTTGAAAACAGACAAAGGCTTTGAAACGAAGTGGAGGAGAGGTGAATCGCGGAAGTCAGACAATAGGCTTTGAAACGAAGTGGTGGAGAGGTGAATCGCGGAAGTCAGACAAAGGCTTTGAAACGAAGTGGAGGAGAGGTGAATCGCGGAAGTCAGACAATAGGCTTTGAAACGAAGTGGAGGAGAGGTGAATCGCGGAAGTCAGACAATAGGCTTTGAAACGAAGTGGAGGAGAGGTGAATCGCGGGAGAGGCTTTGAACGAAGTGGAGGAAGGTGTCGGAAGTCAGACAATAGGCTTTGAAACGAAGTGGAGGAGAGGTGAATCGGAAGTCAGAAGGCTTTGAAACGAAGTGGAGGAGAGACAAGTCAGACAATAGGCTTTTTTGAAAACGAAGCTTTGAAACGGGAGGAGAGGTGAATCGCGGAAGTCAGACAATAGGGAAACGAAGTGGAGGAGAGGTGAATTTAGGCTTTGAAACGAAGTGGAGGAGAGGTGAATCGCGGAAGTCAGACAAAGGCTTTGAAACGAAGTGGAGGAGAGGTGAATCGCGGAAGTCAGACAAAGGCTTTGAAACGAAGTGGAGGAGAGGTGAATCGGAAGTCAGACAATAGGCTTTGAAACGAAGTGGAGGAGAGGTGAATCGCGGAAGTCAGACAATAGGCTTTGAAACGAAGTGGAGGAGAGGTGAATCGCGAAGTGGAAGAATCAGACAATAGGCTTTGAAACGAAGTGGGGGAGAAACGAAGCTTTGGAGGAGAGGTGAATCGCGGAAGTCAGACAATAGGCTTTGAAACGAAGTGGAGGAGAGGTGAATCGCGGAAGTCAGACAATAGGCTTTGAAACGAAGTGGAGGAGAGGTGAATCGCGGAAGTCAGACAATAGGCTTTGAAACGAAGTGGAGGAGAGGTGAATCACTTGGAATCAGACAAGGCTTTGAAACGAAGTGGAGAGAGGTGAATCGCGGAAGTCAGACAATAGGCTTTGAAACGAAGTGGAGGAGAGGTGAATCGCGGAAGTCAGACAATAGGCTTTGAAACGAAGTGGAGGAGAGGTGAATCGCGGAATCAGACAATAGGCTTTGAAACAGAACAAGTCAGGCTTTGAAACGAAGTGGAGGAGAGGTGAGCGGGTCAGAAGGCTTTGAAACGAAGTGGAGGAGAGGTGAATCAGACACAATAGGCTTTGAAACGAAGTGGAGGAGAGGTGAATCAGACGGAACGAAGTGGAGGAGAGGTGAATCGCGGAAGTCAGACAATAGGCTTTGAAACGAATCGCGGAAGGAGGGAAAGAAGGTGAATCGCGGAAGTCAGACAATAGGCTTTGAAACGAAGCGGAAGGAGGGAAAGGTGGAGGAGAGGTGAATCGCGGAAGTCAGACAATAGGCTTTGAAACGAAGTGGTGGAGAGGTGAATCGCGGAAGTCAGACAATAGGCTTTGAAACGAAGTGGAGGAGAGAGGGTGAATCGAAGTGGAGGAGAGGTGAATGGAAGTCAGACAAAGGCTTTGAAACGAAGTGGAGGAGAGGTGAAGTCAGACAATGAAACGAAGTGGAGGAGGGTGAATTTCAGACAAACTTTTGAAACGAAGTGGAGGAGAGGTGAATCGCGGAAGTCAGACAATAGGCTTTGAAACGAAGTGGAGGAGAGGTGAATCGCGGAAGTCAGACAATAGGCTTTGAAACGAAGTGGAGGAGAGGTGAAGTCAGACAATAGGCTTTGAAACGAAGTGGAGGAGAGAATCAGAAGTCAGACAATAGGCTTTGAAACGAAGTGGAGGAGAGGTGAATCGCGGAAGTCAGACAATAGGGAAACGAAGTGGTGGAAACGGAAGAGACAACAGGGCTTTGAAACGAAGTGGAGGAGAGGTGAATCGCGGAAGTCAGACAATAGGCTTTGAAACGAAGTGGAGGAGAAGGTCAGACAAAGGGCTTTGAAACGAAGTGGAGGAGAGGTGAATCGGAAGTCAGACAATAGGCTTTGAAACGAAGTGGAGGGAGGAGGTGAAAGTCAGACAATAGGCTTTGAAACGAAGTGGTGGAGAGGTGAATCGCGGAAGTCAGACAATAGGCTTTGAAACGAAGTGGAGGAGAGGTGAATCGCGGAAGTCAGACAATAGGCTTTGAAACGAAGTGGAGGAGAGGTGAATCGCGGAAGTCAGACAATAGGCTTTGAAACGAAGTGGAGGAGAGGTGAATCGCGGAAGTCAGACAATAGGCTTTGAAACGAAGTGGTGGAGAGGTGAACGAAGTCAGACAATAGGCTTTGAAACGAAGTGGAGGAGAGGTGAATCGCGGAAGTCAGACAATAGATTTTGAAACGAAGTGGAGGAGAGGTGAAGGTGACAAAGGCTTTGAAACGAAGTGGAGGGAGAGGTGAATCGCGGAAGTCAGACAATAGGCTTTGAAACGAAGTGGAGGAGAGGTGAATCGCGGAAGTCAGACAATAGGCTTTGAAACGAAGTGGAGGAGAGGTGAATCGCGGAATTAGGCTTTGAAACGAAGTGGAGGAGAGGTGAATCGCGGAAGTCAGGACAATAGGCTTTGAAACGAAGTGGAGGAGAAAGCGGAAGGACAATAGGCTTTTGAAACGAAGTGGAGGAGAGGTGAATCGTGGAAGTCAGAGGCTTTGAAACTAGGTGAATTCGGGAAGTCAGACAATAGGCTTTGAAACGAAGTGGAGGAGAGGTGAATTCGCGGAAGTCAGACAATAGGCTTTGAAACGAAGTGGAGGAGAGAGGTGAATCGCGGATTTTAGGCTTTGAAACGAAGTGGAGGAGAGGTGAATCGCGGAAGTCAGACAAAGGCTTTGAAACGAAGTGGAGGAGAGGTGAAGAGACAATAGGCTTTGAAACGAAGTGGAGGAGAGGTGAACGGAATAGATAGGCTTTTTGGAGGAAACGAAGTAGAGGCTTTGAAACTAAGTGAGAGGACAGACGAATCCCGGATATTAGTCGATAGATTTTGAAACGAAGTAGAAGACAGGTGAATCCCGGATTCTAGACACTAGGCTTTGAAACGAATTAGTAGACAGGCGAATTCTAGGGGTTTGACAATAAGCTTTGAAACGAAGTATAGGAGAGGTGAATCCCGGAAGTTAGACAATAGAATTTGAAAAGAAGTAGAGGACAGGGGAATCCCGGATTTTAGGCAATAGGCTTTGAAAGGAAGTAGAGAACAGGCGATTCCCGGGGAGGGTAGACAATGGGCATTGAAACGAATTAAAGAACAGGTGAATCCTTGAAGTTATACTGTAAGACTTTAAACGATTTGGAGGATAGCCGAATTCCGGAGGTTAGATAAAACGACTTGAAACGTAGTAGGGGGACTGGTTAATATCAGAAGTTAGATAATACCCGTTGAAACAAAGTAGGAGACAACCGAATGTCGGGGGTAGAAACGAATGTCGGGATTTGAAACGAAGTAGAAAACAAGCTAATCCCGGAGTTTAGACAATACGACTTGAAACGAAGTAGCGGACAGTCGTATCCCGATTGTTAGACAACAGGCGAATATCGGAGGTTGGACAATCCGTCTTGACACGAGATAGTGTCAGAAGAATATCAGAGTTTAGATAATGTGCTTCGAAACCATGTAGAGGTCAGGCTAATGCCAGTGTTAGCAATACGAACCGCAAATGTTGAGAGGCAAACACCACTGAAAATATTTCTTACCTATTTTTTCCTGTAGTTGGTTCTTTAAAAACAGATAAGAACTTGTGTACGACAATCTCACTTATCCACGGTTTCGACTTTGGCTTCCTCACTTACAGATGGCCAATCCATTAATAAACATACTTCCACCAAGGTATTTGATGTCTTCAACTCTTTTGTATTATTGAGTGATTTAAACTCAGATGGATCAGGGGAGGTTGTGATGTATTCTGTCTTACTCTCATTGCAATAGAGACCTATCTGGTTCATTGTTTGTTCAAGTGATTGCAGCAAGGATTCTGCATCCTTGATACATTGAGAAATTAATGCAAGATCATTGGCAAAGTCAAGGTTAGGCAGATATTGTGGAGTTTACCAACTGCTCTAGTGAGGTTTCAAATGGAGTCATTTTTCCTCCATGTTGTCGAGAGAAATACACAGAAGTTATTCCAGAACAATTATAAACAGAAAAAGAGCAAGTGTGTCACCTTGTAGAATCCCTGCTTTAACTTCAAAAGAATCAGTCTTGTCATCAGGTGATACAGTGGTGGCAGTGGTGTTTCTGTACAAGGATCTAACTGCCTCAACATTTCTGGAGGGTATACCATAGAGTTGAAAGAATTTGATCATCTTGAGATCTCTGCTGATGAAATCAAATGTCTTGTGAAAATCAACAAAACAGATTGTGACATCTTTGTTGAATTTTTCCATCTCTTCCAATCTGGGGTGAATGGAGAGGATTTGAACAGTTGCCGACCTTCTTGCGGAAGAGTCGATCGATGGTAGGAACAATCCTATTTTTCAGAAGCATATTGCAAACTTTTGCTGCAATTGGCATGAGAGTTATACCCTTAGAGTTTGACACACTTGTTAGATCGTCCTTTTTTTGGAATAGGGATTATTCCACCCTTCAGCCAAGCTAAAAGCAGTGAATTGTGTATGAATGCATGGTTGCAAAACTCTAGGAAGAGGTCATAAAATGTTGGATCTTTCTACAACAATGTTGGTATGTTGTCAGAACCTGGAGATTTCTTGTTGGCAAAATCTTCGAATGTTGTTTTGAGCTCATCAAGCATGAATGGGTTGGTGCTTATGTCTAGTGTATTTGATATTTGATGTAGAGGGAATGGAAGTCCACTGACTCGCAGTTTCTTTAAGTGGTCAAACCAGCGAACTTTATGCTTTTCAGTGGAACCATCTTTGAGCCAAATGGAGATGATTTGAACAGTTGCTGAGCTGCTTCTTCTAAATCTATTCTGCTTCTTGTGGAAGAGTGGATCGATGGTATTGTAAAGGGTATCGACTACTCTGGCGATTTTTTCTGCCTACGGAAAGAAATATACTGAAGTTTAGATATTAGGTAAGAATGTGGGAAATGGGTTTGTCTGAGAATTTTTCAGTGACCTCTCTTTTGTATCTATAGAAGAAAAAGAGTTGGTACCATCCACGGCTTCAGATATTCGCTGGTTGTCTTGGAATAGATTTTCGGCCGATAATGGGGGAAGCGTACATGATGACGTGTAGCAAAGTACTTAAACTTTTTCTTGCGCGAAATTTATTCTGATTTAGGTTTCTCAGATTTTGGTTCATCTTTCAGAACCATTCGAGACTTGAAGATAGTTCACGATTTTACAAGGTATGCGTTGTAAATCATTCAAGAGTTACCATCTTGTACATGTTTGTAAATCGTAACGTTTTCCCAGTCAGCTAACAAAAAGAAAAGGAAGCAGAAAAACCAGAGGGGAATAAACCTATCTTTGTCAGATCGCCGTCAAAGAGGGGTGTTTGAGTGTCAGATCGGTGTCAAGGAAGAATAGTTGCAACAGAAAGTTGTTGATAGTCATGATCGAAGTACTAACACAATGAGCTTGTGTGAATGTATGTCAGATCGGCGTCAAGGAAGGATGGTTGTGAGTCAAACGTTGCTTAGAGCTACAAGCAACAGAAGGTTGTGGAGAGCCATGATCGATGAACCAACATAATGAGTTTGTGTGAATGTATGTCAGATCGGCTTCAAGGAAGGATGGTTGCGAGTCAAACGTTGCTTAGAGCTACAAACAACAGAAGGTTGTGGAGAGCCATGATTACACGCCTCCTGAAATGATACGGACCATAAATTTTGTTGCTACTGATGATGAGGACTATAACACGGTACGTCTCAAGGGGTTCTCCGGTAGAATCATACAGGACGGAAATGTATTTGGGAGAAAAGTCTTTGAGAATACTTACACTTCTTGGTGAACTCTTTAACCATTACACTCGACCTGCTTATACGAAAATATCTTAAGTATGTGGAAATGTCTCAAGCGCCTCCTCATGATTGACTAAACAGATATATATTTAATATCTGGAAAATGTGAATTGCTTCGACATTAATAGTAGCGATGTTTCCCACCGCCTTCTTCACGATTTTCAGTTCATACATGTTCTCCAAGATCGGTTGGCTGGTCAAGACTAGGAATCTTAGTTTGCATTACTATTTTACTCCTAGTTGGGAGGAGAGAAAATATATAAATGTCATATCTTTCCCAAAGGTATTAATGTGAATTGAAAGCCACAAACCTTGACTGGAAATTGAACTCGGCTTGACAATGCTATTTTCTGTGCAGATAAATGTTGAACAATCTCCACAAAGATGAAAAGGGGACTTGAGAGATCAGACATGTGGTTCTACAGAATAATCCTGAGAAGGCCATGGACTTGACGAAGCCGTTTTAAGGACTATGGAATAAATAGGACGTTTCTATTTAAAGTTAGGATAAGATAGATGAGATATTTGGGGCACATAACAAAGAAAACAGTATATTTTTTACAGTGATGTTCACCCTGTACAAGGCCCAAGAGCCACTCCAGATAGACGATTAAAGAGTAAGAGGCACGGTTTAGGTGGATAATTGAGGAAGATAACGGTTACTCCTAGACTTGAACAGGTTAAGATTGTAGTGATCATGTCAGTGTCAGTTCCTTATCGGCTTCTACCAACACCATGTATATGTATATATATATATATGTATTTCAATTTTTGTTTAGGGGTGGGACACGAGTACCACTTGTTTTATTGATTTGTGTTTTACTGTCCTGATTTACATTTTTTTAATTTTTCTTCTATATTATTTCTTCTTATTGTCATAAAAATAAATTGGGGAGTTAGGCGGAAGAGTACCTTATAAGTAAGTCCCTGATCCCGTTTAAATTATATATATATATATATATATATATATTGAAAATCTGATATTAAATAATGACGGTTTATTGTTATTATTATTAGTAGTAGTAGTAGCAGTAGTAGTAGTAGTTGTAGTAGTAGTATTGGTGTGGTGTCCTTCCTCTAAAGTGTCCATGTTAGACTCTTCCGCCTACTATAAATTTAGTAGGAGAGAAGGTTCGAAAGACAATGTACTGTGAATAGACTGAGCGCTAGTTCATTCGATACACTCTCACTAGTCGTGTAATACTCTTCTGGTGTACTTAAGCATTTACTTGGTCACAGCAATTATTGTTATTATTATCGGGAAAACACTCTCTTGGAAGTCAGTTCCACAGATCAGCGATTTGCGAGAGGAAGCTGCTCGAGTGGAACTTCCATCTTACCAGTGGAATACGAAGAGAATGAAGGTGGTTCGCTACAATGGGTCTAGCATGTGAAGGTTACTGTGCAGGTTAGGACTGGCGTAACTAAAGACTAGATCGTTTGAACATTTTTCCATGGAAATAGCGATAGAGCCGTGAGAGGTTTGCGACGTTTTGTCTGTGGACAAGGAATTGTGAGCTGGAACATAACTAATCGCCCGCAAGGACGCAGAGATGCTTTTGGTTTTCTATCGAGACTGGGCACACTGAAGATGAGTCAGGTACGTGGTCTGGAGTGGTTCAGTGAACTGACAATTTTCCTAGCATCTTGAGTGATGGACCGTATGTACGAGTTCCACTTGAGGTCTGGGTCCAGTTTAATTCCCAATAGGAGCTCAAGGGACGGGTCCTCCCTGGGAAAACATCCATTCATCGTGAATGGTGATAGTTCGAGGTCCAATCGTTGATGATATAATGTAATTAGTTTAATTTTTGATATACCTTCGAAAAGCTAAACAAAGTATTAGAAAGAAAGTATAAGGACAAGGGAAAATTAGTTAGAAACATAGGAAAGAGTGCCGAATTGTCATGCACTATCTGTCCTCCTATATGGTAGTAAATACTGGAAAAATTTCCACGTAGATAAAGGGGAGATTTGAAGCAAAAGAAATGTGGTTCTAGAAAAGGAGAATGAGATTCTCATAGAGTAACGAGGGCGGTTTAAGGAAAATGAAACAAAAATGGACACTTCCGCTTTGGTTAAAAAAAGGCTATTTGAGGAACAATACTCCTAAAAGGAGAAAAATGTCTAAAGAGATCAAAAGATATCATTAGAAATAAAGAAAATAGTACTGAACTGTAATGTCAATCTTCTTATATGACAGTGAATGCTGGATAATTTCCTCACAGATAAAGGCACTTCAGACAATAGAGAAGGATGCTGAGAATACCATGGAAGAATCATATGAACAACTAGGAAGTTTTAAGGAAAATGGGAACAAAAATTATACAGTTGAAATTTCTAGGATATATGATGAGGGAAGATGGCTTAGAGAATTTGACACTCACTGGACATATTAAAAACAAGAGGCGCAGAGGAAAACAGCGAACGGCCTTTCTAACAAGTGGATGACACAACATGGACTAGAATTGATACTAAAGAGATAAACATTGGTTAGAACTACAAAGGACAGGAAGTTGTGGAGAGCCATAATCAAATACCTCCTGAGTACATATTTGAAAAAGAAAGATCGGTATCTGCTTTTCTTTTACTTTTGTTCATAATCTTTTGTGTTCTGATAGGTAACTTTAAAAAAAAATGTTTACTTTTTTAGAAAATGGGTAAAATTAGAAATGAAATAAAACTATTGAAATAAAACTATTTCGTAGCATAGGAATATCAGTTATCGGCTGCTTGGCAAAAATCACTTGGAAATAATGCACTACATCTAATGCAGCGCATGCGTGAACATTTGCGCATGCGCCATGGGTTAGCCATCCCACTTTAGACGTTCTCATTCTGAAGGGTACAAGGAATATTGAAGTATAAATCAACTCAGATTCAGTCGAAGTATCAAAACGGACTTCTTTTCAAATAACTCGCCGAATATATGAATTATGCATCACACCTTTGCAAGAATATATAAGGTCACGATTTATTGTTAATAATTTCCCAACAGTCAGCTTTAATATAAAACCAATATCTACCCCGTAGCTCATCAAATAAGAATGATTTCTTTTCCTTTGTGAGAGCAAAATTTACTTTCGACCAACAAAATTATTTTTTCTACGTCTCTGCTGAGCTCTTGGCTGCATTCGACAACGTCTTGCATTGGACTTAATGACTGGAGAGGCGGGCTTCTAGCGTGGATTCCGAAATATTCCGAAGAACAAAAAAGATAAAATAAAAATACAAAACTGAGATCAAAGTCCATCAGGTCATTCATTTGTAACGATATATACGAGAAAAGGGCTGAACACTTCACGGCTGGACCAAGCAAAATTTCTATACTCCAAAAGCCTCCTTAAAATGAGTTCAAAGTAAATCAGAGCCTTTCTAACGATATATACGAAGGAATGTAGGTCTCCAACCACCCCCACAAAAAAAATAGATAAAAGTAAGTCAGGACCTTTCTAACGATATATACGCAGGACTGCTGAAAATTTCTCGGCTCGACCAAACAGCACCCTCAAACACCGAAAAAAAAAATCATATTTGGTCATGTCGTCAAATTTTAGGAACATCATGACACCCCTCTTATTTGACTA